CTTTGATTAAATAGTTGAAACGAAATCAGTAAAGTAAATAATTCATCAAATTGCAGTACTTGTAGTGAATTAGTACCAAAGTTGATTCCCTACATCTTTCCTCCAAATACTCAAAGGAAGACAATTCAATCTCTGTCATAATTGATATTTATAAATCTAATCAACTGCATGGTGATCTGTTGATTATTTTATTCTTTATTCGCGATGATAGCAACTCATTATATAAGAAATAATCCAAGATGGCAACCTATGTAGATAGTTTGATTCTTAGTGTCTTTGCCTTTTCGTCCGTTGAGTTGCAGCTCGTTGACGTCCTTTAATCATATTAATCTACCTTGATACTTTAGAAAATTGTGTACATTCTAACTTATGTATAAAGAAAGAGGAATATTTCGGCGTTAAAATTGTAATAATAGTAATATTCTTCAATGCAATCATTTCTCCATTATTTTAATTTGAATTTGTACTTTCATGAGATGATACAGTATGGATCGTTTAAAGCAGTAATGTTATTTGTAATGATCTCTAAATATATCTATATACCTGAAAAATAGGCATGTTAGGCAATAATTGCATTTTCCTTTCATGCAAAAAAATGAGCTCATTATACATTTCTTTTCCTACTCTTTTTCACGATTCTTACGCCAAGTCTTAGACAAAATTTGGATTGAATTAGAGACAACAGTAGTTACCGATGTTCAAACTTTGTAAGTCCATTAGGAATATACAATTCGGTAGGGAAATCGTGATGAAATCGCAAAACTCCAAACGGTGCATAATATGATAAGTGTTTTCTGCTATGCATACATTACCCGTCATACCCGAATACACACTCAAGCAACATGTCACAATAGGTATTAGAACAATATAGGTTAATATTTAGATCAAGCAACTTTTTCTGTCAGCTAAAAAATCTGAGAAAGATCTTAGACTTAGAAACCAGGTCTCTTGTGAGCTGAGGCGGATATACATCGTTTCTATCAACCAATGATAGTGACCGTAAAACCTGTATAGTGTAGATTTCAGTCCATGAGCCCCCCTTCCTCAAAACCCTTCTGGATCAGTTTTTGCGACAGAAGCACATCTCTATTAATGAAGTCCGTATAACATTGTATAATGTAAAAGAAAAATAAAAACAGGCATACGCGTAATGTTTCAATTAAGATTTTTTATTAACGCCACACGATGAGACAGGGGGTCTGGTACTCAGAAAACTTTGAAGTTGAAGGTTATTATTATCGTAGACAAGACTTGGTCAAAAACATGTCCGTTCATTTTAGTTAATGCAAATGCAATAAGGATTAATGACTACTGCATGTAAGTAAAGTTTGGTACGAAGAAACAAATTTCGATGAAGAAAAACAAATTAGTTCGGTGTATTAAACTTTAATCTTGGTATCTATGATAAGTTTAGTTTCAGCAGACAGCCGGTAATATAATTCTAATTTAGAATGGGCACTAATTGTGTCCGCTACTGGCCGACTTGTTTTTGTACTCATACGAATCTGAATTTGTACAGAAATGTCTTTCCTCAAGGACAAAAAGAAAACGTATCTTGCAAAGTTCTTTAATTTCACCTTCAGACCCTGTCAATGAGTAATCTACATTTAAGTGCCTTCCATATTTCAAGGGGTACTTGGAAGAAAGGATTTTACTTTATCTAAAGGTCTGCTTTCTTTCTTGATCTTTTCCACGATATTGACACAAATAGACGACTTCAAACTATATTCCATTTTAATTCCAACTTCCCATTTCACAATCGTTACATACCATCTTGTCCATGAAATGTCGTATACATATCTCAATTAATATGTTATGCTTGTGCATGTTCACGCTATACGGATATATTTTACAGGGTGTGCTCCTTGCCCAAAATCTGCTCCAACAGAGTTGTGGGGAAGAACGACTGAAATCGGCAATGCGTAAGATTTACGGTCACCACCACGAATTAGGTGACCGATATGATGTGTCTATGTCTCAACTCACTATCTCTTATTATATGAGTCTTCTGTAGACGAAACGCGTGCCTGGCGTACACAATTTTAATCCTTGTATCTATGATGAGTTTATTTACAGATCATGTCCTATTTCTGATTTGGACATTTCGGTGGAGTGTGAATTTGCAAAGCTGGTGTTGCACGCATATAGGTAGAGACGCTTACCTTATCGATGCAACCGGACTCGCTCCTTTTGGATCATTCGATTCCCTTAGTTTTCGTTTGTTACCTTGCATTGTACTTCTTAATCGATTTATAAGATTTGAACATTGGTTAACTATAGTTGTCTAAAATTAGTAATATTGGGACTATTTTGTGTATACAGATTAGTACTATGATTCCATTTCACTGTATAATCTTTATGGAAAATTTGATGGAAAAAAAATCGGGTCGTTTTACTTATTAAACCGATGGAGTTCTGCATTTTTGAGATGGAAGCGTGGTATCGAAAAGTAATACACACTAAAATTGCAGCAACTGTTAAAAATATCCATGCACAAATATTTAACAGCCATAAAAATGTTTCTTAAAATGACAGAAATGTTGAAATAAGAAATTGTCACAGATACCAGGCTTATAATTAAGTAAGAACACACAATTTCGTCTACATAGTACTGTCATCGTTGATATTCATATCAAAGGTTGAAGGCCCAATCAATAACGAAGTTGGAGAACTTTGAAAACCAAAAATTCCAACAAGCTGGACGATGATCATGTTAGGGCGATCGATGACTTGAGTAGAAAAAACAACAGTGTTTCGAAGGATTTTTGGATTTTATGAACATTAAATGCAAGAAATGACCTCATCAGTGATATTTTATGTCGGTAAACAATTGGTGACGAAACGTCCACCAGCAATGGCATCGACCAAGTGATGGTTAAAACTCATCAAAGAGAACATTCGGTTTCAACTCCCTCAGGCAAAGTTGACCTTAGAAGGATTTGGCTTTTTTTTGGGGTTCTTTTTGGTCGAATAGCTGTTCAACTGTTTCGGTTCTTATACATCCTTGGCCTTCAAATATTTGGCATTGAGCGTTCCTGATGAAAGTAAATCCAGAAAAGCGCATTGGATGCATGAAATTTATAATGTGTTGTTTGTTTTCCTTTTTTTTTCAGGAATCTGACAGTTGTTTTCAATTCGTTTGATGTGTTTGAGCTTTTGATGTTTTGAATTTTTCTTGGAGTTTGGTATCTTTGTTATTTTACTTTTTTCTTATAATTAAGTACGTAAAACGGGCGTTTTAGTAGAGTAGAAATAATAACAGAGTTTATCCTTGCTATCTGTTTGCCTATTCAAACTACTTCAAGTCTGATTTTAGATTTGCCTTAATTTTGAAAACGACAGTGTAACTGAATTTAATATATAGTAATATTATTGTCAATTTGTGAATTTTCGAAATTGATTTTTTTAACAACATTTTCTTTAGTAATTTATTAAATGATTTCTACTTTGATTAATCAACTCTACCCATAGTTCCAGTCAATATGCGTTTACTCTGTCGAATACATCCCCTCTAGCAATGATATACAATTTCAAAATTCTCATGTGACAACCTACATACCCCCTTAAACACAAATAATTTAAAAAAAAACTCTAATTTGAACTTTTTTCCAAATTTCGAATTTAATTTCTTCTCAGCATTTAAAAAAAAAGAAAAGCCAAGATGTTTTTTTTTATGTATCACACAATATTACATTAAGTTTAACTTCAAATTCTTTATTGTAAAACATAAAGGAATTTAAAAAAAAATATTCAAATGATATTAAAAATATATAGGAAGCTTTATTCAAAAATCAAGATAAATCCCTATACCAAACATTTTTCTGCAATCACTCTAATAATGTCAAATGTCAATACTTTACATATATGTAAATTAGCATATAAAGCTTTCCTCTTTTTATTTCGTACTGTGTTGATCATATGTTTGAGTTTTGACATATTTGAAGCTTAAAATATTAAAATATTCATAAATAATGTAAAAAATTAAATATTTTATATTGAAATAAAAGAGCTATTTTTAATCAAAGAATATACTATCAAGATTGTTTTATTGTGGTTTTGTTTTATTGTTGTGCTTTTTTATTTTTGTTTTTGTTTTTAATTCTTTTATGTAAAAAATTTAACACATTATTTTAAATTACAAAGCTCATTTTTTTTACCTGCAAGTACAAAGACAAAAAAATACGTTTGATATCATTGTAGTACTTTAGTTTTTGTAAGTTTTTTTTTTTAAATTTTACTTTCTAGTGTAATTTGCTAATACACTTTTACTATTTCAAACGTAACATTTTAAGAATAATAGTGTATACTACAAAATAAAAGATTACTATATAATACAATCATTTATGCGTAAACAGCTGCGCATTCAGATTTATATTTCTAACCAATCACCCTTTAGGAATTGCTCCACCTTCTCCTGTCGTTGGATGTTTTCAATATGTGCCGCCCCTTATTATTATACTCTCAGAAATTAGGTGACGTCACAAAGTGTATGGGTGAAGTGGGTGGTTTACAAACATGTTTAAATTAGATAAACTGACGTCAAAATGTAAACATTTGAAAAAGCATAGGGTAAATAATAAGTTATTCAAATTGGCACATTATAATATGAATATAGGATTGGTTGAGGATTGTGATTCATGTACACTTCTCTAACTGGGGCAAGAATGTACAACTGTTCATCAATGAACGGGACATGACATAAGAATTCACAATCCTCATGTAAATTACTTTATAACTAAATAGGTTAAACATCTGCAAGTAGTCCATCATTTAATACCATATACATTGTATTTGGCAAATCATTTAAAACAGCATGTTTAGAATTATTTCTAATGTTTACCGATTACGCATTAGATATTGCGCAATTTATTTATTACATTAAATATGACACGTTGTAAAACAATGCATGTTTTATATTCATCATTGTATGAGTTACTTGTACAGTTAAAGCGTAGAAAATCAAAGGAAATCGCGTGGTCTCCCATCCCTGAATTACAATTGTTCATAGTGAAGAACTTTGACCTGACCTACATAAGAAAAAGATACTCGTGTACTAATAGTGATCACAAGTGCTTCACCTTTTGAATGAATACACAAACACCACTGACCCATATGCTGCCTGGTCGAGCTTGACGATCTTCACGCTTATGCTCCCTTTGCTGTTTTAAACAACGTGGTCTTCAAGTGTGACCTCTAGGAATAATTCGGTCGTTCATATTTGTGCATTGTCGCATGGATTCTTTCGCAGTTTACTAGCTATTTCCGCTTAAAAATCCTTCATGTGTGGTCAAGGAAAAATGATGTTTTGGACGTGTGGTCAATTTAGAAAACATTCCTGTGAGGAGACATGTTACTAGAAGGAGTGCCGAAATCAGTGACAGCATAGTGACATTATTACTACATATTTCAGTGATCAATACATTAGTGATATGTGAAGCATAATCAGTATATTCTAACTTTTACATAAAGATATATTTTAGTGCTATGGTCATTCTAGAGATATTACAATGTTTTGACAAGTATGCAATAGAAGCAACCAAATGAATCAAGGAAATGGCAGAAAATGGAGGTGAATGATTAATAGATGTGTCGCTCGGATGATTGCTGACCATGCGGACTGCTTTCATTTTAATTCATTTATTTATTTTGATATACTATTCAGAAAAATGCGTACATGTTTTGGATTTTTTTTATCACTGAAATGATGATTTTAGAACTTCTTATTATAATCTAATTACAGAATTATTTAGTTTCAAGTTGGTGAAACCTCCAATTATGTTAATTGCATGTGTATGTCCAATTTATGATTAATATTTTTTTTTTATTAAAACAAACTCATGAAAATAGATATTCCGTGTATAATATTTATAAGTTAATAATTATAGATTTTAAATGTTTTCAAAATTAAAAACCATGTGTTCAGGGAGAGGTTTAAATGAGAGCGTTGAGGTCACTCTCCGGTCAATAATACTGATTGTAGCCGATACCGGCCATGTTTATTTTTATTATTGTTGTGTATATTTTGCAGGAGGAGGACGTAAAAGGGGGCGCTGTAAATGGTTTAATGTAGCAAAAGGGTGGGGCTTTATAACACCTGACGATGGTTCCCAAGATGTGTTTGTTCACCAGGTAAGATTTTTTACTTCTTGACAGCTTAATATATCTTAATATGATTATCGACCTACTGTCCTAACAAAGACCAGTGTCCACTGTAATGGCCGACAATTCGGTATCCTCTTAATGCTTCATCATATAATTCAGTTTTACTTTATATTTCTATAAACGTTTTTGAATTTTGCAACATTCTTACATATCAATATTTAATAGCATATAAAATCTGTAGAAAAAGAATATATTTTTTGTGTAGAAAAAAAAATCAAATGAAAAATATGTACCTTCTGATAAAATAGGGGGAAAGAGTATAAATACATGATTACGAATGGTACATTTAATTCGGTTGTGTTTATTATATCAATATTGAGATTTGCCATACACTGTATAATCACCAATCTTAATATATACTATGGAAAATAAAAGAAAAAATAATAATAATAATTATATATATATATATTTACTTATGCTATTCTTAAAATCTTATTAAATAATGATTAAAAACTAATCTCAATTTCAATAATGTTACTTTGAAAACTGAAAAAAATATTGTTTTGTTAATTTTGTCATGATCAGTGTAACATTTCACCGTATCATGTAAAATATAAAAAAAAATACAACTTATGTTGATTCATACCCCGTCTAAAACTAAATGGAGCAAATCATGCTAATACATTCTAATCTTTGCAATGCCAACATGCAAAAGTATTGTGTAAAATATTTAGTATTTGTTTAAATCCCAAGGCTTAATCTTTACCCTGTTTTTAAAGTAATATTATATTTCATTTCGTTCTGTTACAGTCCTGGCACTATCAACACCTCTTTTTTGCACTCACTTATTCCTTTGTATATGTCACAACACCTTTCTTTATAATGTTTACCGCAAAAATTATACATTTATTTAACATAAGATCACACTATTTGTATAAATTGTTGGTTTAATTGAGTATAAAATTGTATTAGTAATATTGTCAAATCAAAGATTTCATTGATATAAAATCAAAATATCTGGAGTGTCATCAAGAACAGAAGAAAATGATCATTAGTTATTATTATAATCATATATTTACTCATTGGAATGATTTTGTTAAATAATTTACTCGGAAAGACTATACCAGGCATTTTACAGAATGTTAACAACCCACTGCCTAGGAAATAAATATATATTTCGTACAATTAATCTAAGTAATAACATAAACGGTACCATTTTTTCTGCACCAGATGCGCATTTCGACAATCAATGTCTCTTCAGTGATGCTCAAGGTCAAAATATTTGAAAATCAAAAGCTTATTAAAAAGATGAAGAGCTATAAGCCAAAGAGGACAAAAAAGTATAGCCAAAGCCGGGCAAGGAATCAGACATTGCATGAGGGAGATATATACATTCCTTAATTTTAAATAATTTCTAACATTTTGTACCAGGAAATTTCAATATCACTAAATCCGTATTTTCATGCCAGTACCGAAGTACTGGCTACTGGGCTGGTGATACTCTCGGGGACTAAGTAAATTATGGTCATATCTGTATTTATATATAGAAGGACAGTTTTCCCCCATTAAATAGGATTACAAGGGCCAAAGTATAATTTTGGACATCATTTAAGACAAAACAAAATCCATCGAAGTATACGTACAAAGTACAAACAGTTCGAATATGTATCAACTCCATATATAGGAACGTAATAAATGCCATTAACCCCCATAACATTTTGGCCTTACGAAATACTTAAGTTTTGAGCTATCGTGGTTCATACACAATTTGGAAGTCAATTTAAATTTGATCAACAAGTAAATATACGGAGATATAACATGATTATCAAAGTGAGAACTATCCACCAAATAACGTGGATGTAAGCAACTAAGGTCTACTTCGGCCTTCAACAATTAGCAAAACCAAGATCACATAGTAAGCAATAAAAAGCTACGACATGACAAAATGCTAAACGATTCAAAAAAAAAAAAACCCCAACAGCCTGATATATGATTAATTAAAAACAAAAACAGATATGACGGACAGTAACTGGCGATAACCACTGAATTATTCTGACTTGGGATAGCCCCATATAGAATTTGACAGGGTTAAATATAGTACGACAAAACCTAGTTTGAAGCACGATGTCCAATTCAAAGTGGTCGAGTTGCCGAAACGAACACTATACACAAACATATAGCTATTTTTTGTTGTTGGTTAATTACGTGAATATTTGACTAAACATGGTGTAATATAAACCTATAACTTGAAGGAAATTTCCAAGAAAACTAAGACCAAAATGATAAACATCGAAGAAACTACAAACAACAATTCTCAAAACACTACACAGAATACATTTTTTAAAGTAAAGTACCAATGTTTGTTCCCTGTTTATTAGATTTTTCCAATGCGTCTTCATAAATGGGTGATAAATGTAGAAAGGAAATTAAATCCTGTTAATTATGATCATCCGCTTGAATGGATAGATATTCGTTTTTCTTGATTTAATACCTGTTCCCATATTTTAACAGTGATTGTAACGTATGAAAAACTTAAGTAAATGATAAGATAAATTATAAATGATTTGATTTATTCATTGACTAATTTATAATATAAAGCCAAATAATTTGGTATATCCTTGTAGATAAATATTACTGAACGTGTTGGAAAGATTAAGAAATTTATTTTTAAGTGCTGTATTCTTCAAAAATTATTAATTAAAAAAATGAGGTTATCATCAGCTTTGATATAAAGCTTTGGATTTTGAAATATTTTGGCCTCGAACATCACTGAAGAGACATTGATTGTCGAAATGCGTATGTGGTGCAGAAAAATTGGTGCCGTTTATGTGAATATTGAATTTAAACAACTTTTATACCAAATATGGATGAAATCATTCCTCGAATTTATGCAGTGGATTTATCAATAGTATAGCGTTTTCTGTACTAGATGATGTGAACTGCTACTCGAGTCAAAATCAAATAAGCTATAAAACCTTATCATAAACAACTTCGGGGTGATATGTTTTAAATGACTTTCTTTTTGTAGTATATTGACTCCTGGATAAGTTTCTAAAAAAATTATTTACACAACTATTTGAATAATAGTTAATGCAACGTTTACTGTTTCAATGAACAAGTTATTTTCTCTTATATGTCAATGTTTCCTTTCTCTGTTAGTTAATCAGGTTAATGTTTAATTTCTTGTTGAAGTCCAAAATCATATAAAGTTATTTTTCTTTCTCTCAAGACCTTGATCATGCTGTTGAGTGATCAGCGATTATTCTATAGTGCCCATTCTCTTGTTGGTCAAGGACTGTTCGTAAGTTGACTCTCTCTGGGTACATATGAATGGTTTTCGTTTATTTACAGTAGGGAGTGTGCAGTATAAATGAATCGGTATTGTTTTCTGGTCAGTGATCGATCTTCCGTTCCCCAGACCAGGTTTAAGTTATGTTGAATGTAGTTTACCATGAATTTGTAGTCACATCAACTAGAAACTGAGTGCACTTGTTCGTTATCATGTGCACTTGTTCAAATAAATGCCTAGTTTTTTTTGGTCCTTTGAAATTTCAAAAGTGATAGTGTGATAACATTGCATTCAAATGTGTTGATATCACAATTGACAAGTATACAACAATGTGTTTTATATTTTTCATAATGCTCCAGTTTGTAAACAAAATCACCAAAGCTACAAGGCTAATAATTTTGCACACCAGATTCGCGTTTCATCTACAAAAGACCTGTCAGTGGAGCTCGAATAAAGAAAAGTCAAGGGGCAAATGAAGTACGAAGTTGTAGAGCATTAAGAACCCAAAATTCCGGAATAAAGCATTGATATTGCAAGATGAGTGGCTTTTTTGTTGGTTGTAGCTTCTTTAGATTTCATTGGGGGTTCAGGTGTCATGAACATATAACAATAAGGAGATGTGTTATGATTGCCAATAAGATAACACTATCCAACAAAGACAAAAGAACACATTTAAATAGCTTCTCTACGTAAAATGATTGATATGCAATTGTTGCATGTAATTCTAATTTCCAACTGAAATATTCGGACTATACTTATTGACGCATTAAAATTGTTGACATCTTTAAGTTTTACCCCTCTTTCCTCTGGTATAAAGGATCTTTCATACTGAATTTCTTTAGTTTTTTTTATTTTTTCGTATATTTTTTGTTTAGGGTATTACATTTCGTTCGGTTGATTTATTGTGTATTATTTTGTTTCCTCGATATTGACATTTGTTTACATTCGATAATGTTTAAAGTTTAAATGATTTGTTTTAGTCTTATAATATATGTAAAATGTTAAGCAGAGAGTGAATAATTAATCATGCATTGTGTTTTGTCATATTTTATCCCTCATTGACATGTATGAGGGTATTGACACGTGACTAAAATTCCTCGAGTTTATTTATAAAAGTGGTTTATCATATCAGTTAAGGTTGTTGACCGCTTTAACAACCCACACATCTTTAGTAAAAATGTCGGATACTAGTAATATGAAAAACGTTTGAGTCATAAACCTGTTTTATATGGTTCACAAATTTATAAAATTATATACACGTGTATTATAAGATTCGATTTTATTTAGTAACTGACTACATTTCTCATATTTTGTGAGAACCTGCGGCTCCCGATGTAATTTCGACTCAAATGTTATAAAAAGGTAATACACATACGTCCGATCAAACGTTGTCCAGGTACAAATCGACAATCACGGGAGTAAAACAAACTGTAAAAATTGCAGTACCACGAAACTCGACGAAAGCAGGTGCGTCGAAAACTCCATGCATGCATCACTCGTCCTCAGATTTCAATGTTTATATCCACTATCGAGTAACAAATGTTAAACCAAACATGACGAACTCAAGTAAATAAAAGAAATTATGCATACATGACGTAAGCCCTGTTATCAATATCAAAGTTTTCCATTCAAAACTTGGTCAAACAAACTTTGGTTGAGAACACTTTGTTAAAGTCTTCTTTCCCCACTATACAAAAACTTGATCAAACTCTTCTTTCCTCAGTATCCAAGTTTTTAT